CAGTGGTGCAGTCTCCTTCATGTATCCTGGTGTTCACAGCTTCCCCCTACTCTTTTTTTTTTTGTGATCAGTTGGAGGAGTAAAGCAAAATGGTTTAAGAAAGCAAGACATTATTCTATGATATTTACATTAGCAGCCAGTAGAGAAGAGATGGGATATCCTTTGGCTACTTATAGTTTTAACCATGATCCTCCATCCCACTAGCTACTCTTTAGAAATGATGGAAAGAAGGTAAGACTCTTATTGAGGACAAAGGGATTGTTAGTTGGATCTACAAAGCTGTGAGGCTGTGGGAGGTCAGATTCTGAGGTAGAGTTGGAATAAAGATTAGTAAATAGGAGTAGTGTGTAAAAGAATAGAGACAACCCCCACAATAATATAGTGCAGGAAATGCGAAGTGGGCTGAGATCAGGTAGGGGTGTTGAGTAGTATTTACAGTTGTATGAACTAGGTCTTATTTACAGTAATGTTAAAGCAACAATCTTGTGGCAGAATCTATGAGATCTGGATAACAAGAATAAAGAGTATAGAACCTTTAGAGGTGTACTAATTGAACACAGATGAAGGACAGTAAATTATCAACACACCGTGACTGAGATAACAGGGGAACCTAGCAAATGACAGTATAACTAGCCAAGCAAAGAAGATTATACAGAAAGAAAAAGAATACCAAAATACTATTAAAATTAAAAAATGTCAGAAAAGTGAGAAAAAGATAATACAAATTTGCAGCAACTTGCAAGCTCAAAAAAAAAAAGGAAAAAAAAGCTGAAGATGGAGTGCAGGAGAGATAAATTTGAAGTGGAAGGAATAATATTAGGATGAATGGAAGAGAAAGATAAGGGATTGAGAGATATAAAAATAATAAGAATTGAAAAATAAAATGTCACTTAAAACACAAAATAAAATTAATCAGCCAACAACAGCTAAAACAAAACAAACCAAAACAAACAAAAAACCTCTTGTTGGTTTCTAACTGACCATACCAGTTTTTCTGGTCTTGCTGGCTTCAGCAGGCTGAGTGGTGTTTGAAATGCTTATCACTCTTCCCAGTCAAATCTCAGTAAGTCTCTTATGTACTATCCCCAGGGCCAGCAGGGCGCTCTCCCCAGAGCCAATATGACTTTCCCTTATAGGACTCTGGGCGCTCCCATGCAAGTTCTCCAGAGCTCACTGCCACAGTCTCCTGGGCTCCGGGGCCGCAGGGCTCCTGTGTCTCTTCAGTTTCACGATGCAAGATCCAGGGATTGCAAGGAGATGTTCCCTTCCCCCAAATTTCACTGTGGCAGGCGCTATGTTCTTGGGGAAGCACCTGCAACTTTTCTGGATTCTGGGTGCAACCTCTGGGGATCGTAAAGGGGCATGCCCATCCACCAAATATTTCAGTTTCAGGCTCTAGGAACGCTCTAAATGCCACATTCCTTCCAGGTTCACAGTGTGAGAGTCAGGATTCCTGAGGGGGCATAGCTTCCACAGTTCACCACCGCAGGCTCCAGAAACCTGAGAACACCCACACCCTTTCCTTGTTCGGAGCTGTGAGGTCTGGGTTTTCCACCAATCCACACTCCCACTGGGTGGGAGTGTGGGCGCACTTCCAGGCTGCCCCTGGTCATGCTGGCTGGAGGCACTCATTTCTCCCAGGGCTATGGGTGGGTGCTTGCAGGCCCTGCACGATTGTCTCCCAGTCCAACTCCCCTCTCTGTGCCTTCAAGCCACAAGGTCTTCCCTGGTGTTGCTCAACCCCCGCAGTCCAGTCCGGGGAGAGAGCAGTGACTCCGCTCTCCCAGGTGCCCTGAGGCAGACCCGGGAGCATGGGGCCTGGGGACTGCAACCCTCCTGGTCCTTGTGCTGATCCCTGGGTCCCTGTTGTCCTAAAGCAGTCTCCTTACTGTCTGGTTTTTCAATGTCCACTATAATTTTTGATGTCCAGTTTTCAAAAATGTTTCGGTAACTTGGGCCACTAGCTCTGTTCCTCTGCCAATCCTCAAATTTCCCTCCCCTGCACAGAAGCCGACAATCACACTCCCTGGAGCAAAGCCGCCATCTTTCCTCCCTCCAAGGATTCTTATAACCATTATTTTCAACTCTTTATGTGGTAGATTGCTTGCCTCCATTTTCTTTCTTTTTCTGGGGATTTAAAATTTTTTTTTCATTTGATATGTGTTTCTCTGTCTTCCCATTTTGGCTATCTGTCTCTATTTGTTTTTGTATATTAGGTAGATCTGCTATGTCTTCTAGTCTTGATATGGTGGCTTTACATAGCAGGTATCTTGTGAAGCTCAGTGGTGCAGGCTCCCTAATCAATGGAGGTAGGTGCTCCAGGAATGTCCATTGTGGGGGGGTATGTGAGTCCTCCTGTTGTAGTTGAGTTTTTATTGCTTTGGTCCTTCTGGAGGGTGGAGATGACCCTCAGTTTTGTTAATTATGAGGATCAACCCTGACCATAGTGCATAAGCTACTGTGCCAGGGCTGACTGCACAAAGCAGAATTGGCCACAGCAGGGTTGGTACCTACTGAGATCTTTTGGGTGTGCTGTTGTGGATCTACTTGGGTCATGCTCTATATGGTGTGAAGCCTGCCACCAGGTTTATTGGTTCTGGGGCCTGTTGGCCATGATTCTTGCATAGTTCAATGTCAGGTAATTCCTGTAACTGGCCCTCAGCTATCATTTGGGTGCTCTTACAGTGATCCAAGGTTTTTGACTGCCTCTGCAGCCTGTGGGTGTGCAAGTGATTGGCCAAGCTGTGCACCAAGGCTGGTTTCCCCCAGCACCAATCCCTGGAGCAGGTCAGCATAAAGGCCCAAGGCACCCCAAGCTGTACTTCTGCCTGCTGGTTGCTTGTTATGCTCAGTTACTGAAAGAACTTCTGGTATTATGTGAGTTGCATGAGGTAGGTTCTCAGTGAGTCACCAAGTAGGGGTGAGTTGTATTCACCAGACTGGTACATAATTAAATTCGAAAGTCAGTGCTGTGTCTGAGGCTACTCAGCAAAATTGCCAGGGTACACCAAGGACACCCACCACCTGTTGGGTGCCCATAGACCTTTGTTGTGAGGTGGGGTCTCAGGGAGTCATCAAGGTGAGGCTAGCAGAGTTCATCAGGACCAAACAGACCAAGATTTGGCCATGTGAAGGGAGGGCTCTGCACAGATATGGTGGCACTTGTAGGGCATGCAAGGGACAAATGGCCCCTGCTCTAGAGCTACACAACTGAGACTCCCACAATTCTTCTAGATATCCCTGGGAGTCTTCCATGAAAGTCTGCATCATGGGGATATGCTGGTGATGAAGATATGCATGGGGATATGCCAAGCTGGAGATAGCCAGTTCATTTCTTTTCAGGGCACAATATCAGCAGGGAAGGGCCACTGGGAGTCAAGAGGATGAGGTTAGTAGATTTCCTGTGTGTGGTCACTGCTGGTCAGGTGTACCTTGGGGAGGGTGAATGGCCTTTGCCCCAAAACCACACAGCTCAGCCTCTGATTCCACCTGAGTCTGCCCAGACCTACTCAAGAGCCTTCCAAAAAAGTCTACACTATAGGACATGAGACAGACAGAGTAGGGCAACAGGGAACAGGAAGATATTTCATTCCTCCAGGCTGATGTTGTATGGAGAGGAGTGCTTGACCCAGGAAAGATGGTATCTGTGGGAGAGGCACTCAGAATGGGGACCCTGGTTGTGCCCCTCCAGCTCTCTCCATGAAGCTTTACAACACAGTCTCTCCTTGTAAGATTCCAGTGTTCTCTGAACCACCCTGTCTCCATCAGAGACCAGGGGAGTGGCTGAAAATAAGATTTTGTGTGTTGGCCCTTTAAGAGGGTCCCTGGGTTTTCAGTAGACTTCCCTCTCTCCCTGAAAGATGGAATTCTTACTGATTTTTTCAGCCAGATTTTATGTGGGCTCCTCTTCCCAGCTCTCATATTCTATGCTGAGCAGCCCAGTGTGGAGTTCCAGTCCTCATGGTGGACTTTTGCAGCTGAGATATTCCTCTGTATTCTCAATGGCCTCACATGCATTGGGGGCCAGCCTTTTCTGCCTCTCTGCCCTTCCTACCAGTATCAAAGTGGTTTCTTCTGTAAATCCTTGGTTGTAAGACTTCTGTTCAGCTAATCTTCAGTTAGTTATTCATGTTTATTGTTCTATAATTTAGTTGTGATTCCAATTTGGTCCAGGGAGGACGTGAATGTATCTTCCCCTTACTCTCATGCCATCTTGGTTCCTTTACCTATGTTAATTTTTCTTAATTCTTTTTCCTTCCTGCTATTCAGACTGCATAATCTCTGTCAATCTATGTTTAAGTTAATTAATTCTCCCTTCTGATAATTCTAATCCTCTTTGAGCTTCTTTAATGAATTTTTTACTTTGGTTATTATATTTTTAAACTACAGAATTTCCATTTGATTTTTAAACATTCTTATTTTTCTATTAATATTTCAAACTCAATGAGACATTGGTTTCATACTTCCCATTATTTCTTGAATTATGGCTCCCTTTAATTCTTTGAACATGTTTACAATGTCCACTTTGATGTCTTTGCAAAATCTGGTACCTGGTATCTCTCATAAGAAGTTATTTACAACTTTATACAAGCAAAATATAACCAGAGACACTGAAATAAAGGACAAACTGACAGTAACCAGAGGGGTGAGAGGGATAATGGAGGGAAATAGGAGAAGGGTCATCAAGGAGCATGTATAAAAGACACACGGACTAAGCCAAAGTGGGGCAGGATTGAGGGTGGGAGGTGAGGATGGGTGGGGGAATGGTGAGGGAAAAATGGAGACAACTGTACTTAAACAATAAAAATAAATAAATAAAGATTACTCTGAAAACTAAAACAGACATTGTTTACAACTTTAAAAGATAGAGTATTACTAAATAAGTTTACATATCATTGAAATAATTGAACTGTTAACTTCAAGAGGATTCACAAAAGTCTTGTAAGCATAATCTACCATGTCTATGTGAGGACGCCTTCTGAACAGAGCTAAATACATACCTGAAAGAATAGACAGAGTAGTCGATTTCCCTGCCCCATTATGTCCTAGAAGAACAGTGATCTGACCTTTATATAAATTCAAAGACAAGTCTTTTACAGCGACTTTGGTAGTATTCTGCACTCGGAATTCCTGTGAGAGAGAAACAAAAAAATACTAATTTTATCTATACCTATCACTTAGGAGGAAGAAACATTCATAAGAACTATCTGTAAAGAAAAATACCACATAATCTGATGAGGAAAAAAAATCAAAATGCAAGAAGGACAAAACTGTGAAAAGGAAAAAAATATTTGAAGGTGTAAAGAAAGTTTTAGAATTTCACAGTGAATTTATAAATATGCCCTGAGCAATCTCATCCATTCTTGGTTTGTTTTTATTACCATCTTGAAGTTGATAATGCCAAAATCTTTTTCAGTCAATGCCTTTGTCCTAATTTAAAGAACTGCTTATTAAAAACATGCATAGCTAGACATAGCATATCTCAAATTTCTTACATGTAGACTAGCAGTGCTTCTGCTTAAGGAGCAAAAATATGGAAAGCAAATCATTTTCACTCTCACAAACAAGTATATAGTAATCTACAAAATCATAACTTTTCTTGAACCCATGAGAGTGATGAGTTTTCCAGGGAAACAACTAGGTTTAAATTTTAGAAAACATAGATGCCTTCAAGGAGAGATAGTATATAAATATTTGTTTAGCTGGAGCCAAAACAGGCACTATACAAACTACTGAGAAAATTTTGGTTAAATTTTTAATGCACACGAAGTGAAAACAGCTTAAGAAACAGCATTTAAATGGGAAAGTTGGTATTCACGCCAATTTCATTCAGAGTTAAAGTGTATGCTCCTGTCAATTTATGCCACTGATGGTGAATAAAGACAAAATACCTTGTGTAATGAAAAGAAAATGTTCTTTCTTTTTTTTTTTACCTCAAGTGGAAATGGGTGTTTTCTACCTAGGTGTTCTCATTCTATTTTCTCCCTAGACCTGAGCACCAGATTTGGGTAACTGCTTATTTGAAGTTTCCACTTGTATGAATGTTTAAGTGACTACATCTAAAATGGAGCTTTTACTAGGGTTCCATTTCCTCTACAACCTTGCCAGCACATGTTTCTTGATTTGGTTATGATGGCCATTCTGACCAGTGTGAAGTGGTTATCTCATTGTGGTTTTAATTTAAATCTGTCTGATGGCTAGTGATGCAGAGCATCCTTTCACATGTCTGGACCCTCTGTAGGTTTTCCTTGGAAAGGTATCTGTTCAGGCCCTTTGCCCATTTTTTAATAGCATTGCTTGCCTTCCTGGAGTGGAGTCATGTGAATTCTTTATATATTTTGGAGATCAAACCCTGTCTGAGGTATCATTGGCAAATATGTTTTCCCATATGATTAATTCCCTTTTCATTTTTCTGGTGTTTTCTTTTTAAAAATTAATTACTTAATTTTTTTATTGTTCAAGTATAGCTGTTTTCATTTTCACCCCACCGTGCCTCCCCATTCCTGCCTCCAACCCTTGATAGTACCCTCATTTGGTTTTGTTCATGTGTCCTTTATACATGTTCCCTGATGGCCCTCCCCCTATTTTCCCCCATCATCCCTTTCCCCTGCCCTGATCACTATCAGTTTGTTATTTATTTCAATGTCTCCAGTTATATTTTGCTTGCTTGTTTGTTGTGTTGATTAGGTTCCACTTACAGGTGAGATTGTATAGTATTTGTCTTTCACTGCCTGGCTTATTTCACCTAGCATAATGGTCTCCAGATCCATCCATACTGGCATTAAGGGTAGGAGCTCCTTATTTCTTTCTGCTGCATAGTATTCCACTGTGTAAATGTACCATAGTATTTTTATCCACTCATTTACTGCTGGACACTTAAGTTGCTTTTAGCACTCAGCTATTGCAAACTGTTCTGCTATGAATATTGGGGTGAATAGGCTCTTTTTAATTGGTGTTTCAGGAATCCCTTAGTACACTGTTGGTGCAAATGTAGATTGGTGCAGCCACTGTGAAAACAGTATGGAATTTCCTCAAAAACCCTAAAAATTGAACTGCTTTTTGACCTGGCAATTCTTCTGCTGGGATTATACCCTAAGAATTCTGAAACACCAATTCAAAAGAACATATGCACTCCAATATTCATAGCAGCACAATTTACAATAGTCAAGTGCTGAAAACAGCCTAAGTAACCATCAGTAAATGAGTGGATCAGAAAGCTGTGGTACATTTACACAATGGAACACTGCACAGCAGAAATAAAGAAGGAACTCCTACACTTCACAACTGCATGGAGGGAAGTGGAGAGCATTATGCTAAGTGAAATAAGCCAGGCAGTGAAAGACGAATACCATATGATGTCACCTATAAGTGGAACCTAATCAACAAAACAAATAAGAGAGCAAAATATAACTGGAGACATACATGCAAATAAGGAACAAATTGACAGTAACCAGAGGGGTGGAGGGAGGGGGATAATGGAGTAAAGAAAGGGAAGGATCAGGTCCAGGAACATGTATAAAGACTCATGGAAAAAGACAACAGGGTGTGGGGGGGATTAAATGTTAGAGGTGGGGTGGGTAGGGCAGGGGAGAGTAAAGGGTGGAAAATAGGGCAACTGTAATTGAACAACAATAAAAAAGAAAAGAAGAAATGGAGATCTTAATTCCCTGGAGCTTTATTTAAAAAACCAACTAACAACATGAACTTCAAATTCTCCCCCAATGTCTTCAGTACCCATAATTTGCTCCACTCACCACCCATTTGCTCAAGCCACAAAACCAACAGCCACCTTAGTTTTCTCCTTTTCTCTAAAGCATTCATCCAGTTAATGAGCAAGATTTTTTTTTAGTTCTAATTCCAAAATATGTTCTGGATCTCTATATTTTGTTCTCTACTGCCACAGACCCAGTCTCTGCTGCTATCATATCATACCTAAGCTTCTGTAAAAGTCTCCAATTGGTTTTTCTTCTTCCTCTCATGCTCCTTAAAACTGCCAGGGTAGTTGTTTCAAAACATAAATCAGACCATGTCCCTCTACTTCCTAAATGCCTATAATCATAATTATTGCCCAATATTTAAATAATAGAATCCGAGCATTAACATGGCCTACAAGGCCATAGTACATAATTTATACTATGACTACATCTCTGAATTCATTTTGTATTAGTCTTTCTTTTTGCTTCCTCCACTCCAATTTTGACCTCTTCCATATTCTTCAACATATGAGGTTCCTTCTCATCTCAGAGCTTTGAATTTTCTTTTCTATTTAATTTTTCTGTAATTAGAACTTCAACTGTCTGGCTCATTCTCACCATTATTATCTCATCTTTAAGGTTATTGTTGCAGCTTTGATGGTCAGTCTTGCAAGTTTGAGTTCCCATGAAGCAATCTTAGTTAGAAATTAGGATGTGGGAAATTTATTAAGGAGTGCTCTTCAGGTAAGAACCTGTGTAGAGAAGGGCTAGAAGGACAACCAGGCAGAGAGTGAAGATAAGTTACAGTTTGGTTACTCTAGGGCCTCAGGTAACCCCATGAGGAGCTGTCAGGTTAAAGTGGCCTTTTAGAATTATCCCAAGTTGAGGAACAGGAACTTCATGTGCCCATGTTGACTAGTCTTTGGATTTAGGCCACACTATCACAAGTGTTTGTTCATGGTATAGTCTTTCCTATAAGTCAGCTGGGCAACTGCTCATCTAGCTGCCTGGTGAGCAGCCTGGCACCAAAGAATAAACAAGAGTCACTCACACACAGTAATTATGCTATTCACTCAGCTTTTATTGAATGCAGGTTCACTCAAAGTAGAACATTAACATACATTAATATCCTACTCATGATCTAACAATTTAAGAGAAATATAACATATATGCACAGCAATCAATGGGGGATAATGAACCTGAGTCCCACAGTCTCAGTCTACAGGTCCAGGAGACAGCACAGTGGGCAAGGGAGTTATCAGCGTCTTGCAAGGAAGCATCTCCAGAGCCAGCTGGGCAGCAGGTCAGTTGAAACCCTCAGTCCAACTGGGCAGAGCCAATGCCAAGGGAGATCAGCATGGCATGGAGCAGCATTCTGGTGTGTGGAGCTCACCTGTCTCAGCAGTGGTCTGGAACTGGCCTCAGATATACCTTGAAAGTGGTGTACTCTACCCTTCTGGGCCCTTTCAGTAAATGTCTTGGCACTCCTGATGCCAACTGGGGAATTTGCCTAAGAGCCTATGGGTGTTACATGGCTGTTCTGCTTGACACTTTTACTGGCAAGTGTGTAATTTCCCTACTATCTATGAGTGGAGAGTCTTTCTATGGGTGGTCTTGCTCTGCAGACATGGCTACTCTGACCACATGTGTAGATATCTTGACAAACATGTCTGCTCTATGTGGGCAGATATGTCTCCTTGCTAGATGTTTACTCTGACTTAGGTAATTTACCTCTTGAACCAAAGTGTCATGGCAGAATGACAGTCATTTTAGTTGACATAAATGACTTCACTTTATTTTATATATTCTATGTTATCTTAATTGGACTAATGCCATTTTATTGGTCCTACTCTCTACACACACCAAAGCAAGGGCATGAGCTTGGGTGAAGTTTTCTTTGACCAAAGAAAGAGCTGCCAGCTAAAGCTGTCACATACACTCTTCTACACAGCAGGGGAGTATAAGTCATTCAGTTCAGAAGGTGGCATTTGGGAAGTCAAGTAAAAAGATTTGGGGATCTTTTTTTTTCCTGGGGAAAACTTACATGAGTAATATAAGTGGGATGAATTACAGATCCCTGCTATTGGTCTTGACACTGCAACTGATATTATTATCCTTTATTATCCATTCTAGATTATTCTCATTTTAGGCTAACATCTCTACTGGTCTAAGTAGCATATTTAGGCATGGTGGGGAGTAACTTCATCCTGAAGTTACTGTGTATGCTTCAGGGCATAACTGTTGCATTTGTCCATTTATATTGGCTAGGAGAGTACCAAGACATCCAAATAGATCATGTGGGTGCCAATTGTATTTCTGCCTGTTCTCACTATGTAACTGCTATCCTACATATTTCCTGGTGATCACAGTCAATTGCTCTTTGCCAAAATACTAATTCCTTTTTTTCTCTGCTGGTGTCTTGTCATTAAAGGTCCA